AAAATTCGTTATAAGCTTATAACGAAGTTGATATCCAGATCCTAGAATTCGTTATATCAAGAGTTCACTGTATGTTTTTTTTTGTAAAATAAGTTCAGATTTAACATTAATTCAAAAAAAACTTTTTTAGAGTTTCCTTCCTTTCTATTGCAAAGCTCCTATAGGACCCTGAACTATACTAATAGAACTCACAAATGTAATACGAACACATAATTAAAATTATATTATATGGTATAACTCAGTCAATATTAATGCTAGAAAAATAAAAATTACTACCATTAGATTCCTCTCAGTTAATGAATCCAATAATATAAAATACATTAAAATTGAATCACTGGTTATTGAGATAATGGGTATGTAGGATAAGTAAATTTGTAAAAATAAGTAACTTTTGGTAAAGTTTATATATAAACTCTACGCAAACTCAAATGTGAGTTATATTAGTATAGTTCTGGATCATGCTCCCACATTTTCTTTATTTTTTCTAATACTAATTGGTTTTAATGTTAAAAATTCTATCATTCAGAACAATTAGAATTAATATCATCTATTACAATATTATTATCATGAAGAATTTGAGAAAATCTAACTCAATAATAATTCTTTGATTTAAAAGTAGGCATGGCCTTTATTTTTTTTTGTTTTTATAGAAATAGAAGTTAGAAATTACTTATCATTTTTTTATGCTTTTTTTATTCTTGTATTAACAAATTTGCCATCACATTTTTTTATAATAACAAGATACTTTTGGTTAAAGTTTTGTAAATTTTACTATTAATGTATCTGATACTTTATCTTTTTTTAGCAATCTAAACATTTTATTTTATTCGAATATAGTCAAATATAGTTTTGGATTAGATCAATATATTTTGATTTAATGTAGTCAATATAATCATTTCATTAAATTAAGTTTAATCAGTTAAGATTTTTTGATTGAAACAATTTTTTTTATTTTGTATTTTATAATATAATCATTTTAGAGATGGTTAGTAGAAAAGGGAAAAATCCAAAATTTTTGTTAATTTTTAATTATTAAGCTAATTTTATGCATATGATCAAGATCAGCCAAGTAGCCAATAATATAAATTTTGACCAAAATTTGGATTTTCCTCTTTCTACTAACTGCCTTCCATTTGATGAATTATTCTAAAATTTGGTTCAAATGAAAGAATACTGATTGAAAATGTATTATTTAATTATTATAAGCTATTTTATTATACTTATTATTTAATTGATACTTATTTGATAAAGTTTATAATAATGATTATATAATAGCATGGTGAATATACTTATATCACTATATCGATTATTTTACCAATCATATTTTATATTATTACATTAGCATTTGCAAATGTTGATGTTTCAGGTTTTTCTAAAAATATTAAAATTCATTATATTAACTATTATATTTAATAGTTTATATTAACAAGAATTTAGTATAAATGTTATATAATATTAGAATATAAAATACAAAAGTTGTTATTAAAATAAAATTTTCAATAATTTAATTAGTATTGATCATATTGATCCTTAAGCTAATCAGACTTTGAAACTTTGAGCAAATCCATAGATATTCAGGTAAAACTTAAAATTTTTAGGATATATTCTTTAACTATTTAAAAATCTATAGACGAAGTAAGTAAGAGAAATTTTAGATAAGTAAGAAATTATTATTAAATAGAAATAATAAATTTTTTTATAAATAAACAATAAAAAATTGTAAAAATATATTAATAATTTAAATATTATTTAATCCTTTTAACCTTAATTATAAACTAAATAATATAAACTAAATAATATATAAATAAATAAACTGCAATTTTAATTCTACTGATTGTAAAGGAATAATTATGCAAATTACTAATTATACAAAAATTCTAATAACACAAAATAAGTTTATTACAGTTAAAATGAAATTATATAAAACTTATTATAATAAATGTAACTTGTAATTTTAAATATAATAAAACCTGCTTTCATCTAAAGGAGGATGAATATAAAAGTCAATTAAAAAGTTCTAATAAAAAATTAAAAAACTTAATATTGAGAAAGTTTTCAAAAGATTAATTTAATTTTACAATTAGATGAAATAATAAAATTTGTAGTAAATGTAAAAAGAGAACAGACAAAGATTCTGATTATAATACTACTGAAAATTATAATAAACCAATTTCTAAAAAAAAAGATGATAATAATATAGTGCAATTGAAACTTATACATATGTATTAAGAAATGAATTTTTTTATAATCAAACTGAATTTAAACAATTAGAATTAGATTATCAAGAAATAATTTCACAAATAACAATTTTATTTAAAGCTAGTTTAAGTGAAAAAATTAAAAAAAATGTCAAACATTTTATATGAAAATCAATCAAAAACCAATTTATGATCCTATTGAATTTAAAAATATGTTAGAAATAACAGATGCAGATTTTATGATGAATTATATAAAGAAACTAATCCTGATACTAAATTTGATAAACCTAATAATAATAATTGGTATCTTTATATTACTTTTTGGCTGTAATTAATAACAAATATTTAAATGAAATAAAAGTAAATATTGGATCATATGGATTATATGTAAAAACCTCAGGAGCATCTTTATTTTCAATTGATACATTGCAAATTTAGGACTATCAGTGATTTTATAGTATTTAATTATCCTATTGAATGAAATTTTTATTAAAAAAGAATTTAATATCTTTCTTATTAAATAATCAGAACACTGAACAATACTGAAATAGGTGAGAGGAGGGAATGTATGAAACAGCCAAAATATTTATGTAAATCTTTCATTTTCCAGATAATTATTGATAATTAAAATGTGTACAGCTAATAGTAAAAATTTTTTGGCTATTTTAGTATTTTTCAGAGTCCTAAATAACTGTTGATTTTTGTGATTTGTAATCTAACTTTACTTTATTCGAAAATATATAAATTTCATCTGATTTTTTTACCTGTTAAATATAATTGAAATATCCTTTAAAATTTTAAAAAATGAATTATAATACAAGTCATTTGATGAGAAAGAAAATTATTTAAGATATCTTTGAGGTTTTGATTATTCAAGAGCCAATTTTTACTTTCAAATAAACAAATAGAATGACATTTTGATATTTGCTAATTATTCATTGTAACTTCTAAATTTTATTGATAAAGCAATTGAAAAAGAAGCTATGCTCTAAAAATAATATTTTTATAATTATTAATATCGAGATACATGTAAATTTATCAAGATGTTGCAATATTTATTATCACTACACTATCATAATAAAGGCAGCTTAAAACTTAGTTAACTATAAAAATAGATTGAAATAAATATATATACGGCATGAGAAATCAAACTTCTACAAGATATTAATATAACACCAAAACATAGATGTGCTTGATCATAATATAAATTCGCACACGATGATTCAAATTTACGAATAAAAAAATAATTTATAAGAAAATACAATAGTTTACAAGTATACCTTAAATTTTTATCATTTAATTATCCTCGAAACATATGATTTACATATAATTTGGGTATATCATTATATTTGCATTTTCTCCATTAGAATTGTTAGTTCGACTTATTGCATTCTCGGCTTGTGTAGAAACAGTACCCGATCGGTTTTTATGCTTTTTATAAAAAATAGAAATGCTCCTAGTAAAGTAATAGATAAAATAGAAATAACTACAGATAATACGATTATTATTGTGGTCGATCGAGATGTCGATAATTGTGGTGATGATTATGGTGATGGTGATGGTGATGATGGTGATGGTGATACAGACAATTTCGGTTTAAAACTTTTAATCCATGAATAATTTTCTGTATCTAGTATGTATAGCTCGTTGCTAACTATGTTATCGATTCTTCTTCCTGAAAAAGATAAAATTAATTGTATTACATTTTATTTTTTAAAAAATACGAGTAACATACATATCAAACATAATGAATATATATCTATTTTCTACAAGTTCAGCACAATGTTCATTAAGCAATGGAGGTTCTAATCCCGAAATGACAGGAATTCTCCATTGGAATGGTTTGGTGTATGTTTCTAATATTACAACAGTAGGTATTACATTAAGACCTCCGATTATTACAATATCTCCATTTGGAACGATATCTACGGTGATCGGTCATTTCGTTTGGTTGCGGTACAATTTGTCTACTCCAAATATTATCATTTGTATCAAATATTTCGATCTGTATATTTTTAATAATTAATATTCGTCATTATCATATGAATTCTTTCTTGTACTTTACCTGGCTAATAGTGTGTACAAAAACCTTGTCCACCGGAGCTCCAAATCCTCCAATGATTATCATTCGTCCATCTTTCAATAGTACAGAGGAATAGTCATCCGCAATTATTGGTGTTTGCGGTGCTGGTAATAGAGTCCATGTCAAATAAATATGTATCACCTAAAAACGTGTAATTAAAAAAATAACCACCATGGAGATAGGCATTTCCATTATTATCACTTAAAATTTTAAATTTAACTCTTTGATTTAATTCTGGCGCGGTTGCCATTGCTACTCTTCTCCAATCATTATGTTGAATATCGTATACTATTAGAGTTTCTTCATTATTTATAATAGATTGACTAAATGGGTCTTGTATATACCCACCAACAACTAATATAAAATTATTATTATAACCGCCAAGTACTACTCCGCTTGATACAAATGCCAAAGGTGGGGCTTTTAGTGACTGTGACCATGGCGGTGAATCAATAGTAAATGAAGTAGTAAGGTCGATGGATAATATTTCAGGTATGGATTTTCCATTATTAGCACCTCCAAGAACATATAATACGTCATCTTTGAATACACTTGCGGCATCAAACCTTCCTTGAATTAATTGACAGTTTAATGGATGAATAACAACAAAAAGAAAATAAAGAAATGCAATTATTATATTAATCATTTTAAGTAATTCAAAAAGAAGCAAGAAAAGAAAATTTTCGACCAATACAGTCCAGTATAAGAATATGTAAGACATTATGTTGTGCACATGGAGAACTCCGATGGAAGGGAAGAAGGGAACACAAGAGATTTCAGCAGGCTTCTCGAAATTTGATGTTACCTTACTGCGAGTAGCGCAGTAATTGCATAGCTTGCTAATAAAATACATTTTCTATATGAATTAGAGGTTAAGACTTTATTTGGTTAATTGGTTTAAACTTTTTTTTTACCGGTTAAAATATTTAATAACTCTGGCCAAAATTTAATTTTAGGGCATTTTTTGTGATTACGAAATATCACTAGTTTTGCCCAAATTTATAGTGCCGTCCTGAGTTAAATTTAACCGGTTAAGGATTTTTGGGCCGGTCCCAACCTCTAATATGAATAATATGAATTTGATTCGTATTTGGCATGAATAAAAAGTAAATGGGGCCTGAGGCAATTGTCAAAAAATTACCATTAAAATTTTATTTGCCCATAATCCTTTTGCTATCAATAAAATAGTTTGAAGTAAAGGTGTGGGCGAAACCAAAATCTTAAGGTCGAAACGTTTCGGCTTTCAAGAACTAAAATCCGAAACTTTCCG